AATTTTTAGTCGTATATAAAATCAAAGAATAAATCTCCAGAGAAGAAATATTTCTAATTTACTGAACTAAAATTAAATACTTTCATTTATGAAAAAAATTTATATTTTGTTAAATTATAAATTTTTAAATCTTTTTCTGAATTTTTTTTCTAAATAAACACCGCATTTACTCGAATTTTGACGCAGTTTTTTTCAGGTTTTAGCATTTCTAAAATTAGGTTGAGTCTTATATTCGAATAAATACGCAAAAATTTAGAAATATTAAATATGTAAACACCTTTTGTACAATTTTTTAAGAGTATGTAAGTCAGTAAGACGAGTAAAAGAAAAATTTGTTTATTTAGTATTCAATCTATTAACAATTCAAAAGTAATATTTCTGTAAAATAAACATACTTATTGATCCGTGGAAAGCACATTTTATTTTATTTTGTATTAAAGTAAACATAAATTGTGTTCTAATTCTATCTGGCTACCTCACATATTAGAGTTCCTGTCCCGTGACATTTTATTTACTTGCATTTCCCAAGTGATATTTTCCACTTTCGTTTCTGAAAGTAGCCCCAATGTAATAAACGTGGCCTGAAATTTACTTAGATCTCTTAAAAATTGTTAATTGCTATTTACTTTGCTTATACACATTGGAAATAGGGAGACAATATATAAACGGTTAAGTCTTATATTAATTGATATAATAATATTTGTATGTTTATTATTTATATTTTTATATTAAATTTAAATATAACAGCTTAAGTAATGAAGTTTCTAAAATATATATTATAATTGCCTGAACATTAATACATTTTTTAATTTAAAAAATTATTTAAAAAAAAAAACAGTAAAACTAAATACAGAAGATTTTCAATCAAATTCAACATGCTAAAATATTTAGAATAAATAAAAATTAGAGAAGAATGATAAAAGTATTACAAATCCATTCAGTGACTGCTAGACTAAATAGGATAAAATTAAATGGCCGAGTTGTTCTTAATGTACCATTTATTTTGAAGGATAATATTGAAGGATATAGAAGAAAATTACGGGAAACTAACGAAAAAAGTTTATTAGAACTTTACCAGTTTCAGAGTTATTGATTGTTTTCATTTTTACGGCTGTTTAAACTTCATATAGAGTATATTGTACAGACTGTTGGAATGTCTCATCAGTGACTAGCTATTGTCCTACTATAGAAAAGTGTAGAATAGAGATTGATAAACTCAGATTGAATTCCTTCGACAAACTAAAAAACAGAATAAATTGAATTCCATTTTATTTTTTAATTTTTTTTTTGTAAATAAAGTAGCCTATAATCTGATTCAATTGGATCAAGTGATTACTGAACCATTAATATAATGAAAAAATTAAGAGAAAGAGTTGGAATTATAAAAATAGATATTGCACTAAAGCAATTCCAATTTAATTTGCATATATTTTTATGACGTTGTTTAAAGACAAAATTTTCGGACTTTTCATTGTACGACTTCCAAAAAAAGATATTACTTCTTTTAAGAAACAAATTTTGAAGTGACAGAAAAATAAATTTTCTTATAATGTTAAAGCGTTTTTAAGTTCACACATTATAAACAGTTTTAAACAAAAAATAAATATTTAATTATCAAAATCCAGATGACAATATAAGTAATAAATTGTTGCATATATTAAGATAATAATCAATCATCACGTTGAAGTAGCATTTGATAAATAGGATTATTTTGAACGTAATTAGAGAAACAAAGAATAATTGAATTTAGCGAATATAATCAAAGCAAAAGGATTTTATATATATATTTTTTCTTTTATTAATCCATTTTAACGATGATAAAAATGACAATGATGTTGATGATAATTAATGTAGTAATTATTCAAAAATTAATTTAATGTAAATATGGTTTTTATTAGAGTAAAAACTGATTTTTTTACTAAAATTATTTTCTCTTTTACGAAGCTTTTTGAAATAGATATTTTAGTTAATATGCTTTTACTATTGATTTTCCTAAGCAAAAAATTTTTTAGTTAATTTATAAAACAGCAATATCAATTTAACCAAAGTGTTAATACATTTCAGGAAAAAGGATGGTAAATAAATCTTTTTAATTAGGTGATAATTAAAGCTATTTAATTTTAAAAGAATTTCTTAATAAAACAAGTTAAATAATCTACGCTTACAAAAATTAAAATTCTCCCAAAATGGCAAAATAACTGAATATTTTTAGATCTTTCTACTTCAGACCACGCATAAATAGAAATGTTACTCAAATGATATTCTTAAAAAATAAAATTTATGTTTAACATATATATTAGGGAATATTTATTTGCTTTCTTTTATTATTATTATATTAACAAAAGATAATATGAAATTATAAATAATTATAATAAAAAAGTCTATTAAACTAATATCAATCTGAAAATTTTCTAATAAATATTTATATTAATATTTAGAAATATTTTGAATTTTTAAAAGAAATAGGACAGAATCCGATTTAAATATTGCTTGTAAAAATGCTTAATTTAAAACGAATACTGATACTACATTATATCAAAATTCAATATGAAACTGACTGAAAGTATGGATTTACAACTGACAAATTAAGACAAAATAAATTAAGGCAAGATCTTTATAATTTTTAGAACATGTAATTATATATAGTAATATTAATTTAAAAGTTTTATTATTAATAGATGAGACTGATTCAAGTTTGTTGACATTTTAGGTAAAATTCAATTAGGCTACTTGAAAATATATCAATAGCGATATATTTAAATTTTAAGTAAAATATTATTACTAGAAATAATGTGAAGAAATATTCATCTATAACACTTACTATAGCCTATTTTGAACGTTTCCACTATGTTTCTGAACGTAAGACTCATACGCTATGTTCCACTGTAAATTTTAATAATAATATTCGAGTGTAAAACTCGTTGGCACATATTTTACATGCTAATAATTAACTAAGAATAATCACTTTGATAACTTTAAAATAATTGTTGTTAGTAGTAACATAAATTAGCATATTCTGTCATTATTTATTTCTTGTTTCGAACTGTAGACATTCATTCTAAAAATAATACCCATTATACATACATAAACCCATTTTCGAGTGTAATTTAACATTCACATTTTATATTTATTACTGATGATAAAATGTAATATTTAATATTTAGCTACTTAACATTAATTATATGTATCAAAAATAGTGTGAGTAATTGTATTCATTTAAAATTAAACATCTCACAGTTATAAAATTAGTTAATTATGTAAATATAGATATAAATAGTTGTTATAAATTCTTCCTTCTTAATAACTTAGATTATTCGAATAAATTTCAGAATAACCTACTTATTCATAAGTAAATTTAATTAAACAGACTGCATTTGATGAATTAATTTATTAGAAAAAATTATTTAAAAAAAAACAGTAAAACTAAATACAGAAGATTTTCAATCAAATTCAACATGCTAAAATATTTAGAATAAATAAAAATTAGAGAAGAATGATAAAAGTATTACAAATCCATTCAGTGACTGCTAGACTAAATAGGATAAAATTAAATGGCCGAGTTGTTCTTAATGTACCATTTATTTTGAAGGATACTATTGAAGGATATAGAAGAAAATTACGGGAAACTAACGAAAAAAGTTTATTAGAACTTTACCAGTTTCAGAGTTATTGATTGTTTTCATTTTTACGGCTGTTTAAACTTCATATAGAGTATATTGTACAGACTGTTGGAATGTCTCATCAGTGACTAGCTATTGTCCTACTATAGAAAAGTGTAGAATAGAGATTGATAAACTCAGATTGAATTCCTTCGACAAACTAAAAAACAGAATAAATTGAATTCCATTTTATTTTTTAATTTTTTTTTTGTAAATAAAGTAGCCTATAATCTGATTCAATTGGATCAAGTGATTACTGAACCATTAATATAATGAAAAAATTAAGAGAAAGAGTTGGAATTATAAAAATAGATATTGCACTAAAGCAATTCCAATTTAATTTGCATATATTTTTATGACGTTGTTTAAAGACAAAATTTTCGGACTTTTCATTGTACGACTTCCAAAAAAAGATATTACTTCTTTTAAGAAACAAATTTTGAAGTGACAGAAAAATAAATTTTCTTATAATGTTAAAGCGTTTTTAAGTTCACACATTATAAACAGTTTTAAACAAAAAATAAATATTTAATTATCAAAATCCAGATGACAATATAAGTAATAAATTGTTGCATATATTAAGATAATAATCAATCATCACGTTGAAGTAGCATTTGATAAATAGGATTATTTTGAACGTAATTAGAGAAACAAAGAATAATTGAATTTAGCGAATATAATCAAAGCAAAAGGATTTTATACTTTTTTTTTCTTTTATTAATCCTGTTTTTCATTTTAACGATGATAAAAATGACAATGATGTTGATGATAATTAATGTAGTAATTATTCAAAAATTAATTTAATNCAAGTGTTAAGAAAAAAAAAAAAAAAAAATTAAGCACAGATGATGATAAAAGCTAAAAGGAATCTTTACTTGATAATAGAAATCACAATATAGCATTGCAAATATAATAGAAATATGAAGTCTTGATATTATGGATTTTCATTACTGACTGAGGCCAAAGAATCCAGATTAAAATAAACTTCTATACAGAAAATAAATATTTTAAGTCTTGATATTATGGATTTTCATTACTGACTGAGGCCAAAGAATCCAGATTAAAATAAACTACAATACAGAAAATAAATATTTTTAAATGAAAAAGTTTTTAATTTTCTATTATAGTGATGCTGCTTATTCCTTCCAATAACTACATTCTATTAAGTTGACAAAAATGAAATTGTTATATTTTAAAATTTCGCGAGGATAAAACTGCTTAATATTTCATAATTTAAAGTAAAATTATAACATAGAAATCAGAATTCTGAGATATTATTTACTATAGTACTTTCAATCTTTTCAAATTCAAGATAGTTTCGTTGCCTGCTTGTTGACTTACTTTTCTACAAAGTCCTTTCTTTGTAGTTTTGTTCCCCTCGTGATTCCTACTTCCAAATGTCCAGAATCTGACCTGCTATCTTCAAACTGAATACCTCTTCTGAAGAAAGGTCGATTATTCCCATATTCTCCTATCTCCATAACTTGGCGAAGCAAAATATCTAAGAATTATTCAGGCTATCTACATATATTTAGAATACTATATAAAGGCTATTTACATTATTATGTCAACGATAGCATAACAATTCGGAAGAGCATATAACTTCCTGTTTTCTCCTTCCTTCTCTTTCTGGCCCTCTTTCTATACGCAATCTCTCTTAAAACGTCTAGTTCTTCCGATCAATGAAAACCATTCTATTTTTCCTTACTGTCGACCCAGTTGGTGATCTCAGTTAACCCGGGTTACTTTCCTTGTGGAGTGTGGACTGACCGATTTAAATGCATTTATCGTATTTGAAACCTTTTAGTGGTTATATCAGTTCAAGCTTAGGAACTTATTTGCCGTTTCGGTGGATGCTTTTTATGTTCCGTGGCCATCAAACTGTTAATAATCTTCTAACAAGATGGAAAAACAGCTTACTGTTGTTTACAACATTCGTACCAATTAAAGATTGATTAAGTTCCATCAAGGGAATATGGAAACTGTTCTAGACAGGACGACACTATATATATATATATATATAGTGTTGTCCTGTCTAGAAATGATGCTTAGAGAACAACTTAACTTTTATCTTCACTAAAGTCAACAAAGAATTGTCATTACTAACAAAACTTGAATGCTCTATTTATATATTGCAATTTTTGCATAACAACGTAAAACTGATCACTCTAACACTAACATTAGTATGTCTGTCAACTCTCCAACAGACTATGTAAATGTATACACAACGAAATACATTCTTGAAAGCAGTAATCAAATATCAATATTATTAGCGACAGTAGTAGCTAATCCAAGAAAAGTTCTATGTTTAGTGAATATTAGAGGTGATAACAGAATTTTTTATAACAGTTTTCAGCATGTTTTTACTAATTCTAGATAAGAAGATTAATTAATTTTATTTTCTGTATTAATAATATAATATTTTATTTAGATTTTTTGTGTAGTGTAGAAAAGTATTCACTTACAAGTTAGCCTCGGATAATGCGGAACCCGGTTAATCTAGACTCGAATAATCGGGATTCATCTATAGTTTCTTATTAAACAGCAAAGTAGAAAAGAGTAAAGCATTCTAAACACTTTTCAGAGTTTTATAAGACCTTGTATATACTGTATATATGGGTTTTGAAAGTACAAAAGATAAGAATAGCAAGATAACGTCCACTTTCACATCAGAACTGTCTGGTCTATCAGTGTTTAGTTCTCCTTTTCCCGTCTTTCCTTTTCTAAGCGCGCACAATTTTTTTTACTCTCGGATCTTTGGGACCCTCGCCCCAAATTCATACTTTCCTAACGATCAGTCTCTGAGGGAAAACGGTTTCACAAAATTTGAATTGGAACAGGTAATGAAAGGAATTTATCTTTCACCTATCTTCCAACTTGTAGCGTTTGTAATCTTTTACTTTTATTATACTATAAGGTTCCATGAATTTGTCAAAAACTTTTGGCGGGTCCGAATTGTATCTGTTGAATAGTTACTAATTTTTCGTGACAGTGTTTTGCAATTTAGTTGTGGTTTCGGCGTTTTTCTTCATGTATCTTTTTTTTAAAATCTCCACCTTTTGAAACCTTCTGAACAAAAAACTTAAAAAAAGTTTCTTAGTTATGTATGTATGTGTATGTATTTGTGTGTTGGCATCTCTTTCGTTTTTGATATCTCAGGATATGTCGGGCCCCGTCCCTCACCACCCGGCCACTCCATCGTGGGCCTGGTCAAACCCATAATAGGCTTGTTAAAAGAGACCCTCTCAGTGCCCACAGGGCGGAGAGTGAAATAAATCTCAGGATGGGATAAAGATTAAATGGCGCATCAGTTTGTTTATAAGGGGCATTGATGCTATTAAATTTTAGTGGTGAAAGATCGACGGGGTGGAGAGATAGAAAGGTCATGTGTTATGTCTCGAATGGGGTCAGACTTAATGATGTTATATGTTATTAGCATTTGCAATTTTTTATGAAACTGATTACTACTCTCAAAATTAAAGGTTTTGTCATTCGATAGTTCAAAATTTAGAAAGTTTTTATAACAAAATCTCATAACAGATGGGGTCACATACAATTTTTTATTTACTATATTGTATATTAAAAATATAAAAGTTGTTTTTAAAATAAAATCTCATAACAGTCGGGAAAGTTGCACGACTCGTTGCTGGATTTTTTCTTCTTATATCATGTAAATAATGGTCATGAGGTCGTCATAGTGCTCATTGTAAAGTGCGAAACCTCTTTATCGATAAAAGACATATTTGCTATACATATACATATACATAATATATATATACATATACATAATATTTGATTCATTCTGTGGCGCATCTTCGTCCCGATTAACGCTTCGAATGATGTCATCCCAATGCTCATCTTGTAAGTGCTATTAAGATTCATTTGCACCTGACTAATTTCTACCTTTTATTAGCCTCTTTAAGTAACGCTTTAGTCAGCATTGTGACAATAACAATGTGATCTTTCTACTTGTCTATTCCTGTCTGGATCTTTGGCTGTATTGTGTACTGTATATTTTCTACATAACAATATTTTTTAAAAGCATCTGACGTAAAGGCCTCTCTTCTACCCGTGAAAATGGAGTGTAAATTCCACAATTTTTTTTGATACGAGGTTAGTTGATCTATGACTTTTGAAGCATTAAGTGGCGTTGTGGGATACATCCAAGTAAACATTGTGAGCCATTAATGAGAACGAGAAGATGCTTATATTGTTTATTCATGACAGTCGTATGATCTTGGTGATCTATGCGGTACGCATATAGAGGAGTGTCGGGATTAAAATCGTGCGGAAGTACGTTTCCCGCCTTTATCTGTTATTTCAAACTAGTAACAGTCGACGCCGCAAAAGTCGGTTAGAAAAGCGACCGTCGATTTTGAATGCGTGATCGTTGATTGGTCGACCGATCATCAGACCACCAGCGGACCTCCAACAGAGCAGCGAAGCGCTGATTGATCATCAAGCCTGCCGACGATCGATATAAAAGGTTGAAGTCGAGGCAGGAAATTTAAGTTCTATTTAAGCTTGGCTTAGGACTTTACGTCGGAAGTGAGTTGGTCAACAAAACTCGGTTAAGAAGGTTATTTAACGTTAAGCTCGAGGCAAGGTCGCATTCGTCTCGCTGTTTCTTCGACGAACGCCGGAAGGAGCTTACATCTAGCTATGTCTCAAGGACTGTGTCGTAAGGTGTCTTTCGACAGACCTGTTCAGGATTAGTGGACTATTTGAACTTTAATTTATTTTGTGTGTGTGGAAACCTAATTGTAAACATCTTAAATGTTGTAATTTTGTAACTTTTGTGAATCATCGTAAGTTTGTAAATTTTACTGACATTATAAAGTTTTTAAGTTTGACTAGGAGTATCACTTTTTGGAACAGGAATAAAACATTTATTCCTATTCCAAAAAGTGATATACTTTGACTTGATTCTGATGAAGCCGTGTTTTGTTGATTTTACTTTGCTTCTTTACAGACACACTAAGGTGACATTATACAACACTTGGCAGATTATTCACCATTTTATTCAGTTGGTACTGAATAAAATGGTGAATAATCTGCCAAGTGTTGTATAATGTCACCTTAGTGTGTCTGTAAAGAAGCAAACTACTTTGACTTATTTTTTTCTTCTTTTCCCCAGAACACAACTAATACATCTGATGAGGTTCTCTAGCTTTTCGTGTAGATTTCGAATATAAAATTCTGACTTTATTTCTTCTGCCATCACGCCGAAATGTCTGTTCTCATGGATCATCCTATGATTCCCGTCTGCACTGCAAACGGGAATCATAGGATTTTAAGTCTTAAAACTTGGCAATTATTCTACCCAATGTAATCATTAGTTGAAAGCGACTAAGTGCATCTATGTACTTCATTATTTTCCTAGTGTTCTTTCCCATACTCGAATTCTTCGATAACAGATCTTGCATGCTTAGAGTTTTTTTCAAATGCTGTACAGTCTGCGACTAGTTTAAATTTCACACCAGGAGTAACTCTTAGCTTTAGCAGAACATTCAGAAGAGCTAATACAACTCATATGAGTAACACTGATCAGTGGCCAAAGGGATTAAAAACAGCTGGTAGTATGTCCTACCAGCTGTTCGCATCTCATCAACAGGATAGTCACATAGAGTTTTTCGGGTTTTCTTCACATTAGTAACACCTTAATAACGGCCAGTTTCCATAAAAAGTTCTTCGGAAGGCACGCTCTCGGCAGATCACCCATGTGTTACGTAGCCTAAAACAAACAAACAAACATACAAGTGAGATTTCTTGTATCCGGTGTTTTGAAACTCACATAATACACCGGGTGGAAGATTGTTTCTTCTAGAAGTCTTTGCAACAGAACTGCTCCATATGTCTATGGAGCAGTGCAAACGAACCAGTCCTATTCAATTCGAATGCCAGTAGTAAGTTGCTGTAGCTACATGAAATTGGTCCTTTGCGTATATACCTATTAGAGCATGAAGTAAGGTCTGATCCTTGACACTAAAAATAAACCTTCGGTGTTTCTTTAATAAATCTGGCAGTGATTTTGTCAATGTAACATAATACTGACAATTTTCGGAAATATCCAGTTAGACAAGGAAACTTTGTTTTTTGTGAGAAAATGCTTGTACTGCTTAAATTTTATGAGGGCTATATGCACCCAAAGTCAATCATGTGTCCAGGAATCCAAATTTCTTTTGTAGGAGGTGACATTGCTTCCAGTTATGATGAGACCATGGGCCGCAGCTGCTACCGTGTTTCCCCAAAAATAAGACAGTGTCTTATATTAATTTTTGCTCTGAAAAATGCGCTAGGTCTTATTTTCAGGGAATGTCTTATTTTTTCCAGGAAGAAGAATTCACATTTATTATTGAACAAAAAAATTCCCAAGTTAAATTTAGACGAGAGTGACGTATATCCGGTGTGTCGAACTATCGCCATTTTATAGTGTCAACATCGGACTCGATGACCAATTAGTGCTTACTGAACCGTAGCACTATGCAAATGTCATGTGGCGTGATTCCCGGCCGACCAATTAGCCATCACCAGCCGTAACGTTATGCAAATCTGTGATTCCCAAGCCATAGTCTTATGCAAATCATGCCGTGTGGCGTAATTATCTGCTGACCAATCAGTGGCTGTACTT